TTTCCCCCCTGTCTCCCTGCAGACCAGGGAGATGAGGAGCAGCTTTTCTCGCCCCGGAGGACGGGGGAGGCGGACCGCGGCGCATCTGGGCGTCCCGCCGCTCCTGTCCTCCGGGGCGAGAAAAGCACCGTTCGTAACTGCGGATCCGACATAAGTCGGATCCGCGTAACTCGGGGACTGCCTGTATCCTGTTAGGTACCTTTCATCACAAGTCCTTGATGCAGTAATAAATATGCAGCAAAATGTTTACCTACATCTAAGAAGCCAATAGAGTTTAAAATATTATTAAACACACCTTCTATAGAAGAATCTGTGTTGATGTAAGCAACAGCCCGCTCCTGAAGAACTTTAGCATTCTCCTGTAGTTGTGAAAAGGGAAACACATCTGCTTTACTGATAATATGTGATTATGTGATATTGCAACATGATTACTATAAATAAAAAAGGGGTTCTGGACCAGTCAAAGTGAGAGATACTATTAAATACCTAACTATGTTAATGAATAAGATGGACCAGTGGTCTGGCATGAAATTGAGCCGTGTTCGTTGCGTTTTTTTAATGTTGATCTTCAAGCCATTCATAAAGTATTATGGGGCAAGTTGCAAGTGCATGAGAAGACACATGGTGTGCCGAGGCTATTGGTGGTAATATTATATGCATAGTGTTGTTACAGACTTGAGTTAAGGCTGTATGAGTGCCTTAATTGTGCATTTCCATGGCTTGATATGTCTGGATTACTTTCAAGGTCAATATTAAATCTGAATTTTGGGCTTCGCAACACTTGGTTTTGGAATAATTACAATATCCCTGTCCTGTATCTTACCCTGAATTATAGATATGGACTCTCAGCCTTAATGCCATTTTAACGAGAGCTTTTGAAATTTGGAATTTCTATGCCACAGGAAATGCTAACATTTAAAAAAAATCTGAATTGGAATGAAAAGTCAAAATGTTGAAGTTTCACAAGAAATAAAATTTCCAAGAAAGTTTGTTTCAAATAAACAAAACATTTAATTCTGGTCTGGACTATTTAAATGTAATTACTTTTACTTTACAAACTGGAAATTGATTTTAAAATTGGTATTCTGATTGTACCAATCTGCTAGTAGTTTAGTACTTCGAATTCTAATTGGTTTGATAATCGGTACTGGTCAATTGATAGTCTAACTTGTCTTTTGTAATCATGATACTTGGTAATTTTCTATTGTAAATTAGTATACAGGCAGTCCCCGGGTTACATACAAGATAGGGACTATAGGTTTGTTCTTAAGTTGAATTTGTATGTAAGTCGGAACTGGCTCCAGATTCAGCTGCTGCCACTGAAACTGACCAGGGGCTGACTACAGAAAGCCGGAGGCAGAGTTGCTCTGCCCCCAGCTTCCTGGAATCAGCCTGATCAGTTTCAACAGCGGCTGAATCTGGAGCCCGGGACAGAAC